ATTTGGGACAGAGATGTCTCAGGGTGGAATATTCCAGGAATACGGGGGCGAGCTCGTCCCAGCAAATTTGGTGGACGGGGTCGTTCCCCGTGGGATGAGCGTCACACGCGCACGCAAGAAGGGTGAGGAAGAACACAAGCTCAGGCTATTCGGCCGCTGGAGGGAGGAAAAAGGTGACCTCACTGCCGGAGTTGAGGAAGAAAGCGGGCACTAGAGGAAGGAAGAAGACGTCCTCGTCGCTGGAGATCTGCACGCGCGTGAGAGGGAAAAGGAGGAAGAAGAGGAGCCACGCTGCATGAGCTCCGGCGAGCTACGGCCTCGCCGGCCGCCACTGCCACCGCGCGGGTGGCCTCCGCCACCACCGCCGCACGGGCGACCTGCAGCGTCGCCGCGTGGGAGCGTGCGGACCTCGCGTGGGGCCTCGAGGGCGAGCACGCCAGAGAAGTGGGCGACCTCTGGCACCTCGCGTGGGAGCTCTGCCCCGCCATCTCGCGTGGGAGCACGCGGGCGAGCGCAACGGGGAACGAGACGGATGACGAAAGAGATAAGGAGGATTGGGGATGAAAGAGATAAGGAAGAAAAAAAAAATAACAGATGGCTCCCACCTGTCAGTGGCTGATCTCACATTAGATATCTTTAGAGCAAACAGAAAACAGGTTGATCCCATCCCTCCTCAACCAAACAGAGAATGAAAGTCATCCCGTCACTCGAAATAGAGACAAGACCTCCCACTCCGAACCAAACGCTACCTAAGAGTGGGGATAAAGGGCCCCTAGTCTCAACCTTTCCCTGGCTTAAAAAGACACTATTTTCATCATTGTTGCGAATACAGATAGAACCCCCTCTAACAACCTGCCATAACCAACCCTCCATTTCTGCCCAAAACCCCTAGAAATGGAGCCCTTAATCTTTGTCTTCAGTCACTATCTCAACATCTCATATTGAGATTACTTCAGCAAGAGATGCATTAGTATTTCTAACAGCCAATCGTTTCATACTTGCCTCCTTCCTTTTTTCAGTTTGTATACCGTGTGTCTCATTTAGTGGCACTTATGTACATTGACGAACAATTACTGAGACATTTTGTCGAACACGTTAGGGCCGTTGTGGTCTATGTGAGAATTGAGAAACCAACCCTCCGCCTTGCCTCGCGCCTCCTGCTGTCCTATAGGCTGCAGCTAGAGAGCAGAGCGAGATGAGTGCTTGATGACCCCACCGCGCAGAGGCTTCTTTCCCGATACAAATAGCAGCCACCAGCCACCACCAGAGCCGTTGAGAGCCCTGTTCATTTCCATTAACAAGTCCTCCAACCTTTCACTTTCTTGTCCGGAGTAGTATGTCGGCCGTGTGCATCACATGGTGCCTAGAGGACGAGCAGTCCCACGCCGACACCGACTCCTCGACAACATCTCAAGAGCCCGAAGATCGTGTTCGCTTATCGCCTAGCACTGGTTTCATCCCCACCACCACCGATCACCTGGAGTTGGACGCTCTCCACTCTCTGTACTCCAACAAGCTGGAGGAGAAGTTCATGGTATGGTATTCCATAGACAATATCCCAAGTTCCTCTATTGCGATTGCAATACATAGGTCTTCTGCGCCAAGCCGTATTGTGATCACCTGAACTGACATGGAGCGCCCTTCGAAGTCGCCTTCGTTGGTATGAACAAGGTTGGGCTCATGTCAGCGAGTGTCTACCGCTCTGAGAAATCGGTCTGGAGCGACCTAACATCAGTGGATGCGGGGATCACTAGTGGCGGACCCAGGATTTAGTTAAGAGTAGAGCCAAATTTAGTAGCAAGAAGCCAAAATATACAACATAGTCTATATATGGGTGTGTCAAATAGAATAAATACCTATTCCCATAAAAAGTTTACAAATTATTTTTTTTCAACTACATTATTAGTATCATACACTAGCTAAGGAAATAATATGAAACGTTAAGAAATAAATACCTAGTGACGATTTGGATCCTAATTTTAGATTCGTAATTGGAATCAAAACTGTACAGAGTGTTGAAACTAGAAACTTGAAATTAAAATTAGTAGAGAACCAGATTAACAATTATTGTAACTTGGGTTCTGAATAGGTTAGGAGGACAGTAGAGAGAAGAGAGGCGGCGGCTAGGATTTGCCAATGAGTGGGAGGGAGAGCGACCCCTTGCCTCTATGCTCTTGGCACTATATATAGGCAATGACAATATATAAACGGTCCCTTAGTGGGAGATAATTTCACAAGCTACAACACTAACTTATATTGGGCTTCTTCTAGAAAAAGATTGGCCCATATGTTATATGGGCTCTCGAGTGGTGGAGCATGCCTTAAAAATAAGGAAGGCTAAATCTAAGATCGTGCTAAATAGTTAAATAACACTAAGTTAACTATACTAAAAACCAGTGTGACAAAAATGAACTAAATCTGACAGGAATACATACTGCGGAAAGAGCATGCTACGATGGCGAGAAAACTTAACATGGCTAGAGTTAGATTGCACAAACGATAAGCAGCAAAGAAGTAATAAGGGTTGATGCAGGCAGGAGAGCAACAAGTGAGTGGTTGAGATCTGTTTGATTTGCTTATAAACATGTGCCAGTGTAAATTAGCAAGAGTAAACTAGTGTATAGCTAGTGTACTACAGCTGGGTCCTTCAAAATCTCGCTCATCGCCTCCTTCAACTCCGAGATCCCCTTCTTGTTCTCCGTCAGCAGAGCAAGGATTTGCCCGTACTGCTCCTCCGGCGTGATCATGGCTTGCGATCGGGTGCAGTGGTGGTGGAGGTGAGCCAGATTGGTGGATCTGATACTACATGTTACCAGCCTCAACTGTATATGGATTGTTTTAGAGAGGATTTCGTGGAACGAGGTCACGAACTCCGGCAAATCGCCGAGCTCGCCGCCGCCGTCGCCCTCAGGCACGGTTCAATGGAATAGCCGAGTCCGATCCGAGTTCACTCTCTCAGGCGAACGTTACAAGTAGGAGCCAGTTCTGGGAGCAGAGGCGTCTTCGCTGAAGACGTCTTCACTGGCATCAGCCGGATCAACAGCTTCAGTCACCGGAGCAGCGTCAGAGGTATCGACGGTGACATCTTCTCTCCGTAGAAGCTCAGCTCGTCGGCTTCGCTGGTTCAAGAACTGTATTCTTCAGCACCAACGACACGGTGTTCAGGATCCACCTCTCGTCTGGTCGAGTTCGCGAGGTATCCAGGAGGCGAGGTATTCATACCCTGATTCCGTATACAAGCTGCTTCAGGTACGAAGAAATTGTGCGGTCAACATTTTATCTTGTTTCTATCTGCTGGTTCTCGAGTATTTAGTTAAGCCAACCTCCTTTTTTTTTAAAAAAAAGTATTTAGTTAAGCCGCAACAATTTTCTTTGGCAACATAAATACATGGATTCTAAGTATCTGTTATGTGAATATTATGAAATTGGGAAGTAGTATGATCGTTATCTATGACTGACTGCATGAGTACTATGATCGTTAATTCGTTATCTATGTCATAGTGATAAGTTTATGAATAATTAAATTTTCAGGTCGTGCTGAGAGATGATCGCTGAGGGAATAAATCGAAAGTTGTCAGACTGATCTGCGCTTGGAATATCTGCTCGTAATTGATGGTTTCTGTTTGAAATCGCTGCAATAAACAGTTTTCGGTTCTATTTCTCAAGGACTTCGTTGTTGCAGATTGCAATTGCATTCCTATTTGTAATGGCACAGATAGTTGGTATTCTCAATTCCTGCTGTAATTGCACAGGGTATTCTCAGTTCCTGTTCTGTCAGGTTTAGATTTCTGAATCTGCTCGTAACTGGATATTGTTTGTTCGGCAATGCAACTTGCAACTGAGAGATTTATTCTGTCCTAAAATTTGAATCTGCTTGGGTTTTGTTTTAGCACCACATCTGTCTGAAAGTGTTCAGCATCTCTTCGGACATACAGTGGAATTGACAATACTGAGGAAATGGGTTCAGTTTCACAATCTACTAGGTGTCTATGTGAAGTGATACCAACATACGTATGGTTAGAATTATTTGGTTTCCAGTTATGCAGTTTATTTAGATAAAAAGGGGTTAACCATGCTTTATGTGTTTTTGTTTTCGGTTCCGCACTGGTAAAGAAAAGAGCATGTCACTGTCAACCGAGATCTATGTCAGTCCAATCAAATTTATACTTTAAATGCTCATTTTTTGTGGCAATCCTAATTGGATTTGGCAGATTTTATGTGCCCTTTTTCTCCTGAAACCTGAACACGTAGGCCTGCCATGTATTCTGATTTCAGGCATAAAATTTCTACTTAAATGAGCAAATGTTCATGCATGGCAGGCCTACGTGTTTGATGGTTGAATTTGTACCTTTCTTATGACAGATAAACCTGTGTGGTTTCACTTTTGTATCGGTTGACTTTCACATTTCATGCCTGAACCTAGCTTGAGTGTCCATTCAGGCATTCAATTTGCTGGCAGTGGACTTTCATTACAGTATGCTATAGTAGTTAAATTATTGGCCGATGCTTGGTCCAGGACATTCACCCAAAGGTGTAGAGTGGCAGTCTGCACTCCTTTGCTCTGAAATTTCATACCTTCCGTGCCATTTTGTTGTTTCCGTCAAGTTGCTGTTAAATGTGATCGTTCCAGCGTCTGCTGGACTCAAAAACATTACAGATTGCGCCTTCCTTTCTGCGGGCATTTGGGTCGAAACTACCAGCCACTTACAAATCAGTCCGAGCTTCACGAGCAGGCACTGATGTGCTCCGAGAGAGCTTCCCTTAAAAGCTCTGGAATTCAGTCGCTTTTGCAAAATTGGTCATGTTTTTGTTGTTGTTGTTTGTCCCAGCTTTTGCAGAGTCAAGCATAATTGATCGGAATTAGTACACACCAAGGTAGGAGAACTCAAAAAACCACTGCATTTACAAGATGAATCAAAGAGACAAAGACAACAAGGTGGAAAAATGCTAAGCTGACGCTAACTAGAACTCTCTGTACACGTCCCTCCCGTCGATCGGCGTCACAGGTCGGCGTCGTCCTCGTCGCTGGCGCCGGCGGACGCGTCGGCGGCGTCGGAGCCGTCGGGTCCGGCGCCGCCCTCGCTGTCGGAGAGGCGCGCGAGCCAGCAGCTGCCGTGGAGGTGTCCGCTGACGCAGACGAAGTACTCGACGCGGCCCTCGTAGGCGCCGAGCCTTCGCGACGCGCTGCGCGGGGCGAGCCCCGCGGCGGTCATGCTCCAGACGCGCGCGCCGCAGTAGGGGCAGCGCACGCGCGGCTCCAGCGCGGCGTCGCGGTGGCCCACCAGCCACGCCCGCGTCCGGGAGCGCATGAACCCGCGGAACACGCCGCGGTAGGCGCCGACGTCGTCGGCGGCGCCGGGCACGGCGTGCTCGCAGGGGTCCGACACGTACAGCAGGTCCCCCGCGCACCGCCGCGACAGGAAGCTCCGCCCGGACGTCTTGGAGAAGCGGGACACCGGGGCGAAGTGGCCCGGCACGCCCGCGCCCGCGCCCGTGCCCGCCGCGCCGCAGCAGAAGAGGAGCAGCTTCGCCAGCGCCGGCCACCCGCCGCCGATGCGCCCGGCCGCCGGCGCCGAGGCCGCGGCCCCGCCCGTCAGCGCCGCAACCATCCGCGGCGCCCGCGAGACGCAGAGCTCCCGCCACAGCACCCGCTCCGCGACGGCGCGCAGGCGCCGGCTCACCCGCGCCACCACGCACAGCGACTGCGGGTCCCAGTTGAGCGCCCGGAACACCAGCTGCAGCACCTTCTCGTCCATGATCCCCGCGTTGACGCCCCGGACCCGCGCCGCCGTATTGCCGCCGCCTCCTTCCCAGTGGCCGGCGGCGCCAGAGCTCCCTCCCGCATTGCCGCCGCTGGCACCGCCACCACCGCCACTGCCGCCGTTGGACGTCCCGCTCAGCCGCCTCATGGTCAGGGCGCTCTCCCTCATCCCTCCGCGCCCATCAACCTCACGCACCGCGCGCGCGCAGCGCACGAGCCCGTGACCGACTACTGACTCGCGATGAGGAGCCGCTCACTTGCCTGACTGGCGTTCGCTCGGTCCGTCGGTGGCCAATAATAGGGTGCCGCAATTTTCACAGGGCGGAGCCGGTTATATACGGCCGTCCCGTTGCCGGCGGTCAGTGTCGTTCGGGACGCGCGACAAGTGGACAAGTCTAGCCGCACTTCCCCCTCTAAATATCTCCGCTCTTAGACAGCGTTTGGCTGGTGCTTTTGTGACGTAAATAGATAAGGGAGGGGATGCGATTGCGTTAGATTTGTTTGTTTCTGGCTAGCCCGCAATCCGCTGCCCCGTAAACGAATACCCGCCCATAGAAAATTGATACCGGTGCTCCTCGGCCGTAATCCCATCCAGGCAGCGAGTCGAGATCCCCACCGAACATCGGCCATTGGCCATTTGCGTTTACACATCAGGAATATGCTCCATCTGTTACCATTAACGCTGTTTTCCATTCCCTTTGCGTTTGCTTTTACAGTGCGCAACCAAACAGCACGTTAGTACGGAACGGCAAAACAAACTTCTGGTACAGTTCGCGACGTCGCGATCCTGAGCCGGCCTACTCGTCCTACCCTGGTCGGCGCAGCGATAGCGGACGTGAACGCGAACCGTGCGTCCGTTCCTTCGTTTGCGAACTGACGCAGCGCTGCACGGCACAGGAGGACATGGCAAAACACCCTGGCCGTGCGTATCCACCACCCATGGTTCACGAGCCTCACGCGCTCGCCGGACGAGTTCAGCGCTCCGACACGCCACGGCAAACAGCAGGTGCCGTCGCACGCGACGGAGGTGCACGGGACACGCGTCCCGGCACTCCGCGTCCCAACCGGCCCAACCGCGCTGCCCGCCTGCCAGGTGCCGTCGCGGCGCTCGGTGGAGGACACGTCCGGGTCCGCGGGAGCCGCCGGGCACCCGGCGCCCAATTATTACCGGCGGCACCTTTCGAATCGACTTCGGGTTGTTTCGGTCTTTCTGCTTCCCGCGGGGTGGCCGGGACTGGGACACGCCCGCCTCGTCAGGGCGCGCCGGTGGCTCGACACGTGTGCCGCTGCGGGGCGCGTGGGTCCCGGAGATCGAAAATATCTTTGGGGTACGTGCCGCGCCGCGATTGGACGAGGGACACGTGTCGCGCCGGTCGGGGATGGCTTCGATTTTGTGGGGCTCGATGGGCCGAGCAGTCGAAACGTGAAGCGATCCCCGCCGCAAACGTAGAGACGGTTAGCGCACTCTCAGCTTTCCGCTGTTCCAGGGGCGTTTTCGCTGGTTTTAGCCGGTCAGTTAATAGTGTTTTTTTTTCATAATAAATCAGTATTAATTGACTTATTAGTTTTTTTTGTGTTTTGAGACTTTTCAGAGGTTTATCGTAGTGTTGGACTTGACAACCTTTTTGTGTTTTGAGACTTTTCAGAGGTTTATCGTAGTGTTGGACTTGGCAACAAGAATTTTGCAATTGCAAATGCTTGGTGTCGCGACAGCTTACGAGGTTGGTACTAGGATCGGAGTTTGTCCGGTGCTCGTGTAAAAGGTGAAATGCAGAGGATTCCAAGGAGGCCAAAGGTACAGCCGGCAGGATGCATCCGGCGATGCGTCGTTGCTATCAGCAGCTGCTTCCGGACAGCGGAGCTGAATTCTTGCGATAAAGTAAACGTGAAATACAAGCAGCAATGTTTTGTCCCCGCACTAGTGAGCTTCCGGCGCGCGCGTAAAACATTTGCGTTGCCAAGTTGATGAGTAGTGAGCTAGCTAAAAGTTGGGTAAGGATTGATGGATTCAGGTGTTCGGAGTGCATACGATCAGTTTGCAGAGGGCCTGTTCGGCGGTATTAAAAAGTTCTACCGCACGTTTTTCTTTGTGAGAGAAAAATCCGTAGATTTTAGGCGATAAAAGTGGTACCGATAAGTTCAAGCGAACATGCCCTATAGAGATGTACCGGCCCTGTTCGTTTCGCTGAAAAGACTGGTCGAAAAATACTGTTCGCTGATTTTGCGAGAGGAAAACATCCTAACATGATAAGTCAGTCCGATAAGGTCAGCAAAACTATCTGCAGTTACCTTGCCGGGCAGACGCACATGTGGCAATGCGATGCTATGACCGGTTCGGCCCAAATCAAGCCTGGCAATTCAAGGAAAAAGAACACACTGACGTAGCCCAAACCAAGCCTGGCCTTGAGGAAAAGGAAACAATAACTGGCCCGTCTCGCCCAGTATCCAATACAGAATGAAACCTTGTTTTTGTTGGACCCATGTGAAATTCAGCCCAAGTCCTTCTCCACGCTTTCATCAGCCTTTTGAACACCTGAATTGGTAACCGGCCACTAAAACTACTATGCCGCCTCAGATAGGAAATCAAACATGTTCGGCGGCCGACCCTGTGCCTACCTCCCTCACGTCCCTGTTCATCAGCATCCTATCGTCAACTGGAACACTGCTAGCAAAAGTAGTGGAAGCCATGTCCACCAGATTTTTGGGTCCTTCGCACAGAGGCCAACACAACTGGTGTCGAGAAGCCACATCTGAAACGTGTCAAATCGAATCGTCAGTTACTTCACCAGCAGTCACTGCGCTGCAGACTTGCAGAGTTGGACTTGCAGCTGTAGCCTGTAGGCACTAGGCAGCACCTCTCCACGTCTCGCGTCGCGCCGTCGCTACGCTGCGCGTCCTTCTGGGAAAGCCCGTGCCCGTGTGATTTGGACGGCGCGCGCCCGCACGTTGGCTGGCTGCGGTGGGCAAGCGCACGGCGCGTCAGGGCGGGCGTGCGGGCGGGCGTCCTCGCTTGTGCGCATGACGCCAGCCGGCCCTCGGCCCGATCGAGAGGCCATGTGAGTGTGTCGCCCATCTGACCGGCCCCCACCCACTCGGCACCCACGCAAGCGAGCGAGGCAGCGAGCGACGCCGAGGAGCGCAGATCGGAATCCTCGCCCCCGGCTCCTTCTCGCTCGTCACGCACGCCGTCCCACCGGCGCCCTGAAATCCACGATCCAGAGCCGGTCGGGTGCGCTCGGAAATGGCCGCGGAAGCAGCGGAGCCGCCCTCTCCCCCGCCGCCGCGGACCGGGGAGGCGGACGCGGAGACTCCTGCGACGCCTGGGAAGCGCGCGCCGGCGGACCGGGACGAGAAGGAGCAGGAGGGAGCGGAGCGGCCGGAGCCGAAGCGGCGGCGCGCCCGCGCGCGCATCGCGGCGCTCGACAGCGTGCCCCGCGCGTCGGAGGTCGCGGCCGCGGCTCTCGCGCGGCTGCCGCTGCCGCTGCGGCGAGCAGGAAGGACGAATCCGTGGGCGGCTGCGACGGAGTAGAGCCGTCCTTCTCGTTCCACGCGCGGAGCTTCTCCAGCGCGCAGACCACGCCCAAGTTCGGGTCCTTCAACCCCGGCGCCACCACCACCGTCGCCGCCGCCGCGGAGCTCGTGGCGTTCCACCTGATGAAGGCCTCTCGATGTCGCGTGGATTCTTCGGCGACGGAAGAGGCGGGGGATCACAGGACGGTTGCCGGCGGCGGCGAGGAAGCGGCGGCCGAGGGCAGCGATGAGAATTCACGCTAGCGGGTAGGCACTCGGTTTTTACTTCGGCGTGCTAATGGGCCGTGTCCATTTTGAAGAACAGTTTATTTTCTTCTCCTTCCTATTCCTTCCACTGTTGTGTGTCTGTGTGTTGTGAAAGTTACCGGGGTTGGTGTTTTTGTTGTACAATTAGTGATTTGTATAGAAAAAAAGGATGCTATTTATCCGTCACCAAATTTCTTCTCACCACACGATTTAGTATATAGATTCATGCTCAAAAACTAAATAGCAATTCCCTAAAGACCCATCCTCTTTATTACTCATTAATTTCATAATCAAGGTTGTTCATGGCAAGCTAGTCAGTTTTTATACTAATTGTCTTAACTGGAACTCCAATATCATCCAATTCTTCTCATTTAGGCTATGTTTTAGATCCACTAGTGTTAGAAATGAATTAACTAAAACGTTTTTTCCTGTCTCGCAAGCCGCCACTACCACGTCGCCTGCTGCAACTCCTTCTCCTTACCGCTGCTGCCGCCGCGCCTAGGGCTCCTCTCCTTCTTCATCTCCGGTGCGTTTGCTGGGGGATAAGAAGGGGAGGGGAACCATCTCTTTAATTTCCCGTAAATTTTTCTAGTTGCTTAGGGTTTAGTATAAATAAATCTTTCAGTGAAATCAGATGATTTTCGGTCGGAATCGTGTTTCCTGCGTGACTTCGACGATTGCCATGATGTGATCGCCATTGTAGGCATCGATTTCATCGGCAGGCAGTCAAGTTGTGGCTATTGTCTGTAAGGGGAGGGGTGCTTCTGGGCGCCTCCAACGAAGACAGCTACTCCGAGTCATCGATCTCATCATCGTTGGTTGCAAAGAGGAAATCAAGGTTTGAAGGTGATGAATCTATATCTTATGTTGCTCTCGACGATGCAACTGTTGATATTCTTTCATCGATACAAATATGTTTTGGACTGGTTCCGAAGCGTTGGATCTTACAGCATGTCCAATGTTTTGGGGTTGGTTATCGGATTCGACATAAGGATTGCACTTTGGCTCTGACGTTCGAGGGATGCCATTGGGGAAGAAGATGGAAGAATCTGGATAGAATATTGTGCATTTTTTATTTCAAATTTTTTCATATGTAATTTGGGGATGTACTATGCCGAGTTTTAATATAATCCCCTTCCCTTTGCAAAAGAAAGAAATGAAGTGGTCAAGTGCAAAGGATAAGTTGAGAAGATCAAAGTAAAAATGGTCCAAACACCGTGCACACAAATGACCGATAGGGTTACGGGGCAACTCCATGGCGACATGGTGTTCCTTCCTAGGGTTTGAGAGTTTTTCTTCAATCCTTGCTATGGAAAAATCTTGGAGGATTGTATGGGGGCTTCCCCTCTCCCTGGAATCTCTGGCCGGTGTCGTTGGCTCCGTTGCGTCATGGTAGGGCCCAAACAAGGCTCTGGCAAGGACTGCATGTGGCAGAACCGCCTAATATAATGCCTCCTAGGAGAACTTGTCTTCCATTAGACACTAAGTACTCAAGATGACACCAAACTACGCAGTTCCGTCGAGCACACCCCAAGAGAGAACTCAAAAGTCCACATTTTTTCATCAGAATCATAAATGAGAGAATAAAGCTTACATCATTCTTAAGACATTTCTTACATCACTTTATTACAGTAGTAGAATATTACCTTAATTGGTTATAACAGCGAAATATAACAATGTTATCAGAGTTACAGAGGAAATAAAGATTAATTTAATGATATGGTGGAGCATTAACATAGTGGATATTTTTATACAAGAGATGCTAGCAGATTTTACATCTTTTCTTATAAAAACCTTTAGTACGGGTTATAAATAAACACTACGGTCGTAGCGTGAAAGGAATCCTCTCTAAGCCCACCAGGAGGTTTCCACACACAAGAGTCAGCTCTAAATATCCTCCGATCACCTGCAACAAGGGGAATAAAACCCTGAGTACTCAATTGTACTCAGCAAGACTTACCCGACAGGAGGAAAAATAAAAGACTCCAAAGATATGCAAGGCTATCTGGCTTGTGGGTCATTGCATCTGCATAGAGCATTACTAAATGTGCGTCTTTATATTCAATTTTATTGGCAGTCATTGTTAGTTCATTAACTAACCATTCTATGTAAGCACATATGCTACTTTCAAGTAGGTGGTAAGCAATCAGAACCATTTTATCACCTTTCAAGTTCCCGTTCTTACTACGGTGCTAGACCATAGCTAAGTCGTACCGTCTCATAGAAATGACGATTTGTGAATCAATGTATCCTAGCTAGGTACTCCGAAACACATGCCACGTTTGTACCCCAAGCATAAATAAGACCAACCCATTCCACACCTGTCACGAGGTCCAGTCCCCGTCCAAACTTGGACTCCAAGCCCCCACACTTGAGACCTGGTCTTAGTATGGTGCTTAGACCTCCACCTTTTCCCACCTCTAATCAGTCGGTCCGAAAAGAGCCGGAACCCGCGACAAGAGCATAACGAGTCTTCCCGCTCTCAGAAGCAAGTTTGTGCTTAGGATAATAGTTTGTGACCTGAATACCATCCACAGCAACGGAAGGTCCTCAACTGACATAGGCGGAACAAATACAATCCGAGCCTCGCTCGAATACCCAACTAAGTCTAGATCCAAAGTACCATTCCGCCTGGTCTTCAATTATCCTTCATACATATTCTATGTGATAGTAATATAATAACAACAATAATATATTTCCTATCTCTCGCGAGTGACAGGTAATCACTCGACTTCTACCGGATCCTATAGCATAGCAATCTACACGATCCTGACATACTAGGACTCATAGAATGAGGATATATATATATATGCAAGTGATTTTCATTCAACTCCTTAAAACTTAATGCACAAGCATAAGATAAAGTGCAGAATAATAGGGGTTATGCACCGGGACTTGCCTGGGTAAGATATAACCAAATATTAGCATTCCACTGGTGACACGATCATCAAGGCACCCTCTTTTCCGTTACTTCGGTCGACTCCATGATCCATCGTTGTTCCTATTATGATATACGCGGATGCAACGCAGAGACGTAAATAATCAACGGCAACCGAAACTCTTAGAAATACGATTACGCCTCACAAGCCAACGAGATAGCTCTAAAAACTAACGTGCTAGGCTACGTACCATGTTGTTGAATAAGGCGTTGTTTCCCATCAAGTGTTTTAGTTCTAAACTCTCAAGGTGTTTCAGCATTTTATTGATTAAACATATATTTTTAAACTATGGCTCATTTAGCTACCTTAGCAAACTAATTATTATGGATTACAAAAATTATAGTGAGCACCTAATAATCTGAGAAATTTACTGTGAAAGTTTCAGAGCCAACACTATCACCAATTTATCACAAAAATACCTACGAATTTATATCTTACAATATTAAGCATCTCAAATTAATTAGATAATTTCTAAAAATATTATAAAACTATGTGAACAAAATATACTGTAACACCCTCGATGTTACACCCTAAATCATTAACAAAAATATGTCATGAGCATTATGTTTATGTGTTAATGCATGTGATAGAATGTGTAGATAAATTTCTTGTAACTTAAAATGACTAATAAAAATATTAAACAAAAGTTGATTCAATAGTTCGTATATATCAAGTAGGGTTTAAAACTAATTTTTATTAAGCGAAAATACCATAGAACATGTGTGTGATAGTTAAATAAAGTTTGAAGTAAAAACTTTGTAGATGACAGTGAAATATTTGCTGTTGAAAAATGATATTGCTGGCTAGTATTTCTACTAGCCTAGAAATTGCAAATTGAAATCAAGTTCAGTTCAAAAAATTTGGAAAATTTCTAAGTTTGTCAATAGCTAGAAATTGCTATGTTTAACAAATTATTTTGAGAGATTGGGTTTAAGAGGTGGTGTAGTGTTATAGCTCGATTTGGTAGTCTCATATGCCTTCTTGAGCATGGTGAAGATGGTTTGGCTCCTGCAGCAACCGTTTAGTTTTTATAGGAGCTTTAAAATTCGTTCATGACTCGGTCTCGGGCTAGTTGGCCGCGTGGAAGCGGTCACCATGCTCGGCGTCATCGCGTTGGTTGCGCGTGCGACCGACCGTGGCTGCCTCTGGCCTAGCTGTGGCTCGGCTGCCGCTGGCCTCGTCGTGCAAAGCTGCTGCCCCCCGCCCACGCCACGACGAAGCCACTGCCGGTGCTATCACCTCATCATCGTGTCCGCCCACTGCTGCCTCACCGCATTGCTGACCCGCCTCGCGTCACGACGTTGCCGCTGCCATCGCATCGTCGTCACGTCCATGCCTATCCGCTGTACCCTCTGTGCCGCTGCCGGCCCAGTTCATGGCCACCACTGCCGCACGCATGAGGTCGAGCTTGCCGTCGCCTTGTCATTTAAGACACTATGGCCACGCGGGCCACACTGGTCGGAAGCGTGCATGCCTATCTAGTAGCGCCTGCACGTGGGCCTCCACGATCTCGTCGACCGCATCCCGCCAAGGTGAGGATGAGCCAAGCCACCTACCGCGCCTCGTCTTTCTATTTCTCTCTTCCTCCCTCCGCTGCCGCCGCCAAGCCGTGCCATCAATTACCCTACGAGTGATCACCTCCATTCAATTTAGCACATCTACTTCTTCACCATCACATCCTCTCGCTACCTGACCCCACCCAGCTTTGAAGCGAGCACGGCCAAGCTCCAATTTGGAGTTTCTTCCGCCGCTGTGCCGATAAGGCCGCATCCAGCCACGGATGTGGGCAGTCCTCCCACCGTCCCTTCTGAGTTAATTCACCAGCACCACTAGAATTGCCTTGACTCCCTCTTCACCCTACACGCCTTAGCCAAACTGCTACCGCCTTCCCTTCATCGTTGATGTGACCATGACGCCATGGTGCACCGCCGCGCGGCTTGGCCACACATGTCCAGCCTTCCTCCATCATCCTCCGCCCCAACCGTCATCTCGGACTAGTGCATGGTAGCCTCCTGATGTTCATGAGCTAACCAATTAGGCCTGTAGCTACCCCATCCC